ACCCCAAACCCAACCCCAATCCCAAACCAAACCTCAGCTCAAAACACAATCCAAACCCCAATCCAAACCCCAATCCCAATCCAAACCCCAAAGCAAACCCAAACCCCAAACCCAACCCAATCCCAAACCCAACCCAATCCCAAACCCAACCCCAACTGCCAGGCATCCAATCCAGCTGGGCCTTCTCATATTTCTCTCGCCTCCTTCATCACCACACCCATTCTGATAAGTTCCCAATTTATTGGACTTGACATGAATTCTTTATCACTAAAAGAAACCCAAATATAAAGGAAAAAGGAGAAAAGAACGGACGTCCAGAAAGGCTAAGAAGGAATCAAAAGTAGATCAATGGATCGCGGCGTTGCGCGCGCGGGCAGGCAATGGAACGCACATGCCACACGAGTGAGTGAGTGTGTGAGAGTGTTCAAAGCCTGCGGTAAACGGTGCAGCCAGCCGCCATGGAAGCAAGCAAGCAAGTAAGTAAGTCTCTTAGGGTGCGCTTGTTCTTCCCACACGAAGGAAGGACTGGTTGGTTGATGTTGATGTTGTTGTTACTGCTTTGCCCGGTTGGTAGATTCTTCGAGGTGGTGATTGGACCTGGTGCGGGGTATATGTTACGAAGAGGAGGAGGAAGGGGTCTTTGTGCGCGTGTGGACTGCTACAGTGGGATCCGACTCGGATAAGAAATAACTTGGAAGCACCATTGACGAGGCGATGGAGTGAAAGCGTCTGTCTGAAAACGGTGGCGCATCTTAAGCGAGACATGCGGTGTTTCATTCGGAAGCTCCGGACTCACCACTTTGCAGCTCGAATTCGCTTGCGTTTTCCGCCGTTTTGGGATGATTACGATGGGAAACACTTTTTCGTCGCTCTATGTATGTAAAAATATGTAATTCTTATGGTCACGGCTGTGGGATGCTCGCGAAGTTTTGCGAGGCGTTTTGTCTTTTATTGGACGAGGCAGGGGGGAAGTTGTAAGAAAAGCTATCGGCAGAGCGTCTGTGCTACTGACAAGTTTCGTTGCGGGAGTAGTTGCATCATGTGGGACGTATTTTGGAAGGTTGTTGAAAGAAAGGGGGGAGAGATTAGACGAGGCTTTTGGGGTTTTCGAGGTGGAGATGCCGATCTTTGACGTTCTGTGAAGTTTTGCCTTCTTTTGGTCTGCGTGCATGCGCACTGCTTCGCTTTTTTCTTTAAGGTTCGAAGTTAACTGAGTGAGTGGATGGCTTCTTTTCAGGAATGAGCCCCGTCATTTCCGGCTTTAGGGAGAGGATTTAATTCCCTCTGTGTATTCTTTCGAGCTTAGTTTCCTTTTTGTTCTAGAGGATTCACTGGTGAGGGAAAGCTGCAGTGCAAGGCATTCTGCATAGGTTTGTAGCATCCATGTGCTTCTAGGACATTGCTGGATTCACAAATGTGAAATTGGACTGTGAAGACCTGCTGTTTGCTTTGATGAGTGTGTTACGTTTGGTTTAGAGTGGGAGGAAAACCACGATATTCTTCTCCGGGAGCGAGTTGAGGCTTAGGTCAGTTTTGTCGGTTTCGTCCATTTGGAGCTCTTTGCGAGAAACTTCAAGTTCCAGTTAAGATCTTTCTACAACGTCACCGTCTCAGTGTGCTTTCCCTACACAGCAAGCTACTTTAGATTTGTTTAAGCTCGATTCCTAGTAATCACCATCAAATTCTCTTGTCGTTTTAGTGGAATCCAGTATAGCTTTGAATCACACACCTTCCGTGAAGTCTTCTGTCTTAGCATGATGAGCAATAATAGACAAGAGATTGAAGTGCACCTTGTACATTAAAAGTTCAGATTGTGAATCCAAGAATAGAGCGTGCAATGAAGCACAAATTCCTTACCTTTGGGATTGTCGACCATTTCTTCGAATTTGACTGTTCATTGAAATGACCGTTTCAGAGAAAAATTATTCATCGGTTACAGCTTAATCCTCATACTTCTTTTCAAATTGACGAATTTGATTTTCCTTACAAGGTCGACCCAGACCCACGCTGCAGGCTTTACTTGCACTTAAAAAAAAAAGAAGAAAAGATTGGCGTAATGAACAGTTCGGGTAGCGACTTTTGACATTCTCAGGCTGCATCTTTAGTTCTAGTTATTGACAAAAATGCCTTCTTTCAGACCGCTTCACAGGGCGCCCTCAGAGTCATTAGATAAAGATAATCGATCAGCTAAGAGGGCTTTTGGTCAGGACGTGATGAGGAAACAATTGCTCAGACGGAATACACTACCTGAAATCCAAGAGGAAGGTTTGTTAACCCCTCTACGCCGTCCATCATCGTATTCCGGGTATAATTTGCACCCTCCAGGTTCAAGGAGGGTGCGTGATTTAGAAGCCGGACCGGATCCTCCTTATCATCAATTACATTCAAATGTCGAGATGGCAGCAGCATTGGTTGACCAGGTAAATATGCCAACTGAATTCTAATTCTAATAATAATTGGCTTGACTTAATTATTAAGTCTCAGCACGAAAGGCGAATCGTTTGTATGCTTTTCTTTTTGTTAGCTGTCTTTGCAACGTTCACTAGCTTATATGATTTCCTCACGTTTCCCGCTCTTCAGCCAGCTTCTCAAGGTGCGAAATTGCTGTTGAGGAGGCTTTGGAAAAATGTGGAGAGAATTATCCTTTCGTTTTTATCTTTGATGTCATACAATAACCTTCAACCTCTGTCAAAACTCATATGCTCTTGAATTCAATCGAGATAGCATTGGAGAAAGGGACATTCTTTTTTCTTGGTCTCTGGTATATCTCAATTGTGGGAGCTTGTCATCAGTTTGAGTCTCTCACTGATCGGTCTATGATGTTGGACCGTCTAGCATTGTTGTCATACGCGGAATTTTGTCCAGACTACACATGTATAGATAGTCGCGAAATACAGTTCTACAAAAGCGATTTTAAAAACCTGCGACCATTTCGCATCCTCTTTTTGTCATACAATAACTCCTAAAACTGTCTAGCACTTCTAGCAATGCGTTACACGGGCGCACTACATGGTCAGCTCATAGATGGCTTCAGTCTACTCCAGCGAAGTGTAGAAATTGTGTTCCAATTCTGAAGGCCCGCATTTCATAATTGCAGGCAATGCAGGGGAGGTACCTGCCGCTGGCTGTGGTTTATCACAAAGATTATGATAGTGCAAAGCGTGCTTTCATTCTTTACCACCAGCTTTTTTATGCAAGGGCACTCGTGTATGTAATTCTTATGCTGTTACCTTTTTTTGAGGTACGTTTACAAAATTGAACTGTTCTTGGACCGAGAGACGAAGAAGAGTTGTTCTTTTTTCCTCTCAAATACAGTGATTTGTATTTATGTTAGTATGGAGTATGGAGTTTTTCAAGGATCCATTGTAGTGTATGTAACACTCCTTATTTATAGGGTTTTCTTTGTCGACATAGATCCCGGCTTGGTGCAATGACAAATTACCAACTCCATGCGGTGATCCGAAAAAATATCTTCTCAGCGGCTTGCCTTACATTCACCCATATGTATCTCTAGTGATCGAGGTATGATTTCCTTGCTGATGCTCCCTTGAACGATTTGACTGAATACAAGGCGAAAAGCCTGCAGTCACCCGCAATAACCTGGTAATGTCTATATCTTTTTTGAATGTACAAATCGTCACATTCGGTCCTTCGCCTGCGATATTAGAATTGGAAAGCATGATAGTTAGCCGTGTTCGCATTTGTATGAGCTAGAGAATTGTTTTAATCTTCATGACCATCTTGCTGCAGACATGTTGCGCGGTGGTCCTCGCGTGGTCTGTCGTATTGCAACGATACTTTTTAGGTTCTAGATTTTGGCATAACCAATATTCTGTATACAAGGTAATCATTGTTTCCATGTGTTTCCATGTGTTATGTACCTGCATAGTTGTCTTTGAGGAATAATTCTTGTTGGCTGCAGTCACACGTAGGATGCTTATGGATCTGCAATGCTCATATCGCAAACTGATCTTGATACAAAATGGTGCCATTTGTGGTTTTGGTTTCTAAATTCGATAGCCGTCTGGAACAACTGCCCCATGAAAATTTTCTACCCTGGCATTTTAATCGGGTTTACTTGTCGGGCAGGTAGCTTTACTTGTAGCGATGTGTGTCTCCATTGCTACATCGACTTTAGGAATAGCAGAACACCAGAGCGTTAAGATGTTGATGTATTTGAGGATTCTTATTCCCATTGCATTCAGCAGGTTTGCCACACACTCATTGTTGATTTCGACCGGCATTTTAAGCAAAATTGTTTTTACTTTGTTCTCGTCTTTACTACGTTCTGGATATTTACACTGTTCTGAAGGTCTCTGACTTTGAAATGACCGTTGCTTTGGACGTCTCTTTTACATCCTTGATCTGCTCTCATCCTACAGGGCTATACGTGGTTGCTTCCGTATGACAGTGCTTATTGTGCACACATTTATGGATATTACGGTATGGTTCCATTCTGTTTACCATGACAATGGATATCATTTGCTGATGGATTGTTTAGATAGGTTTAATCCCTCAGCATTCCCAAACGCATGGATCCATTACTTAGATAGGATGTGCGCGGAAAATGCAAAGACCTATGACGGCCCTCATTTCTAAGTTTGGGTTTTTTCGAGTTTCCCCTGATTTCTAGTCTTCTTTTTTCTTGAATACCTTGTGCACTGGTTCGGAGTTGAGATATTTGTGTGCAAGATGTACTGAAGGTCTGATGATTGGTCTGACCAATGTTTTGGGGGCACAGGTCTTGGTGGTAGTATTTGTGATGCTCTCTGCATGGCTTGCCACGACTCTCTTCTCCGAATCCACTCTTGAATTCAAGGATTATGGCACTTCCCTGTTGAATCTCTTTGTGCTGCTGACCACCGCAAACAATCCAAGTGTTTGGGCTACAGCTTATCGAACAAATCGATTGGCATTTTTCTTTTTCTCCACATATTTGCTTGTGGGATTCTTCTTCTTGATGAACTTAGCTTTCTCTGTGGTTTACAGCAACTACAAAGCTCAGGTATTTCTAACTCTGTATGTAACTCCTTCAAAGTCATTTTATGGAACAGAATTGGCTGGGAGTTTAGTCTGTCAGTTTGTGGTTTGTTGTGACTGGGTAATTGAGATTTAAAACAGCACTATTTATAATGTAATTTTATGAACTGCAATTCGTTACATCAAGCAATTTTTATGTCTTCCCAAATGTTATTTAGGCGATATTGAGAGTTGAGAGCATTAGTATCGTTCATGTTATCTAGGACATCTAACGGAAGGTAAAGCCGTCTTGCTAATTTTTTGTTTGTTTTGGCTGAGCGCTGTAGATGGCTGTGGAAGTAGCTAAACGAACCACTGCACGGCAAGGAAACTTAAGAGCAGCGTTCAGTCTTCTAGACGTTCGTCATCAGGAGTGGATTGATGGCGCTACGATGATAGCTCTGTTCCTTGCAATTGGTCGATACAGGTGTGTAACTCCAAACATTGTTTAGGCAAACTTATTTTATTAGTTTCAGATTGTAAGCATGGGATTCTGATGTCGCTAGTATCATATGTTGGGAGCAAAGTAAATCTGCTGATTTGGATACAAGATATTGTATATTACTTGTGATTCTGAAGGAAAACATGTTCTCTCGATCATGAATTCAAGCAGGGAAATATCTGATATTCGAGCACGGACTAGCCACCTGTTCTTAGCTCTCAACAAAAGGGGAGATTTTAAAATCTGGTCTGATGAATTTGAGGAGCTCTGTAATGTTATAGCAAAAGAGGTTGAAAGTCCTCCGGATTTAGTACAGCTACGGCGACGAATGAGTAAAAGTGAGATGCAGTTTGTGACTCATCCTGTATATGCATATGTTATTTGGGCATTCACCCTTGGATCCTTGGCTGCGGCAATCACCCAATTCAATGTAAGTGTTTCAATTTGGTGCTTCTTGATCAATTTTCAAGTTGTCTTAAACCCTAAACCTGGAAAACTGATAAGCATACTGATTTTCTTAGAGTTAGAATGTTGAAGCTAATCGTTACAACTTCTCCGACTTATGTTAAAATGAGAGATACTGGAAATGATTCTTCTTTGTGCTCTTGACGTTTCGGTCCTGCTCACAGTGAAATTTCTCTTATGCAGGTGGGTGGCAATACACAGGATCTGCTTCTCAGTCTCGAGTTTCTTTTTGGTAATCCCTTTCAACTATCCATGTCCTTGTGCTTTCTTGGACGACATTTTGTCGGGGTATTTAAACTAGATTATTTAGACGTTATATACCAAAAGAATGTTTTAGCCTCGTATTGATTATATTTCTTCAGTATGCATAGTTTTGAAAATCAGGTTGAGGTAATGAATAATACACAGCTCATGAAGACATCATATGTAGATTTTCGTGAAGATCTTCATGAAAGATCAAACTTTAGTCAATAATCTAACTGAAAATTGTTGGTAAATGTTTTATAGGCTGGGTGTTTGCAATGGATGCGTTACTTAAGGTTTGTCTGCAAGGTTGGAAGTCTTACTGGCGCACCAAATTGAACAAGTTTGATTTTGTGGTCACGGCACTAATTCTAGTACTTCATTTCATCTCTTTTTTCTATCAGAATGGCCGCCCCTGGTACATATCCTTCGCCCTTCAGCTACTCGTTATTGCTTTGGTTATGATGCTGTTGGACTATTTGCATGCATCAGAGTGTTCACCTTAAAATGTTACTGAATATTTGTCTAATCAGAACAAGTACATTGCAAATTTTGAGTTTGAACTGTGTGACCAAAGTGAAATAACCGAAATTCGGCACTGGTGAAATTTCACTATTTTAAGTCGAGGAATTCACATGACTGAACCTTTTCCTTGGTTGAACAGGGTGTCATATCTGCTCTTAGTACGGGGATTGAGGGTTTTCGCTATTCTGTCTTTGATTACACGATGGCGTCTGATGGCCCAAACGTTACTTATTGTGATTCCTGCTACAGCCCCAATCTTAGCTCTCCAGTTTTTGGTCTGCTCTGCGTTCTCTCTTTTGGGGATGCATCTATTTGGGGGCCTCGTTTACGAAGGTAATCCTGCGCTCGCAGGCACCCAGTACTTGACTTTGGAATTTGATGCGTTCAATTACAACGACTACGCATCAGCTATGGCCACCTCGTTTAATTTGTGCGTTGTCAACAAATGGTATGTGATCATGGACGGCTATGCAGCTGCTACGAATAGTAGATGGTCTCGGATATATTTCATGGCATTTTGGGCTATAGCTGTTGTGTTTACATTAAATGTGGTGGTCGCCTTCTTCACCGAGGCCTTCACTAGTCAAATGGAGAAAGCTGAGCGAATAAGAGCTCGGGAAATGAAGCGCAATTCGGAAGAAGCCTCTGGACCACTAAGGAGAAGACCGGGATTGAACCCGCCCATTCGAGTAACGAAGTCTCTCTCTTATTATGACCTCTACGAAGATATCGTGAGGAAAACTTGATTTGATCGATTTTCTACGATTAAAATGCCTTTATCCTTCTGGCCTCTTGGTGAATGAAATGGTGAAGAGACTTCTTTTGTTCAGCCAAAATAGCGCACCTGGATTACTTGTAACGCGACCCCATTGGTGAATTCATGATTCGAGTCATATGGTGTACGCGTCAAACTGTTATTGAGCTCAAAGAAATTGTTTCACGAATATGGGCGTTTCGCAACATCTAGCTCCGCTTTACAGATTTGTTGCGATTTTAGCATCCTGGCGAAGGTGACATTTTACTAAGAAAGACCTAACAGAGTTGTGATTTTGTGCTGAGCACAAGATCATCTCTTCCCGGATGGCTCAAATCTTCACAGGCAACCTTGCAAAATTGCTTCCACGAAGAGGAGTCCCTCATCTGCCCTGAGATGCAAGAGGTGAAGATCTCATCCAACATGTCAATCCACAGGTTGCATGTACGAGAGTGTATAGTTTGAATTTCTCTTACGAATGCATGCTCCCCATGTTGAGGGGCTGATTTCAGCTTTCAGAGAAATCGTACGATTGTAATTTTTTATCTAGAAAATACGAAGATTGAGTGCCTCATCGTTTGTGAACAATGATTCAACATGCTGTATTTCTAAACAAGCTTTTTGTTTACTGAAGAGAGGATATTCAAAATTTTGCGAAGCAATAGGTATCGCTTCTTAAGTAGAATAGTCCGTTCGTATCCTGATCTGTGATATTCCTTCTAATACTGTCTAAGCTGGATTGTTTTTGTTTGTTTGTTTGTTTTCTCTTTAATATTCTTGGTTTTTCTTTTATCTAATGGCATTATTCTTAAGTCTTCGTTGAGAAACTCGACTGATCATGCGAAAGAATTTGCTTCACCGTCACCAATTCAGCTGTTGTAGCTCAAATCCTTTTTCACATTCCTCTATTAAAATTATCATCTCGTAATACCGTAGTGATAATGAAATCGATTGTGGCCAATGGGAGCCTTCCCAGCACATATCTTCAGCAGTAAGCGACGAAGGAAGCATGCAATGATCAACCGAAGGGAGAAGCAAAGCTTAAACGCCACTTGTGTGAGTTTTATGTTCTCCTGCAAACTGGCCGTTGCGTGGTAAACAGCCCAATTAGTAAGGCTGCTATACTTAGACAGTCACTGGGCAAAGAGACCAAAACTCGTTATCGTGCCTATCCTTCAACGAAAGAACGAAAGTCCAATCGAAGTATGACCAAACTTCCGATGATCACCCCACACAAGGGACTCCTGTGTTTTTCCTGTGTGAACAAGTTGGTAACAGTGAAATCCAGTTTAGTTACCGAATGAGAACATGAGTAAACGACAAAAGTAGTTTCCTCGGAATTGGATTCTACTCAAGAGACTCAATCATTTCGGCCCACTGCTACTTTCTCTTATCTTTTCACAACCACGTTTCGAATGCCATGGGAAATCGTGATCCTTTTAATCTGCACGACGACTCAAGTGAACACATGCAGCAATTACAGTGCACGTGACAGTGAGCGTTTTTGACCGCAGTGGACTTGATAGCATGCTGTGTGTACGCCTAGCCTATTGAAATAATATGACTTTCAATTGGTGTCATTTGGAGGTATTTTAACCAACTTTGTTCTGAAGTTTAGAGGGGAAATACCTTGGATAAGGAGAGGCATTCACATTGTTCATCGTTCCTGTGGATGTTGAAGTCTGTGCCGGTTCGAGTGCCAGAGAGGATCACCACCATTTCAAAGCATGTAAAGGAATAAGACTTGATTGTTACATTTGAAATAGGCCACTACCTCATGTAAAAACACACGCCTTTCTCTTTCCTTTGTTCGGATAGTAACCATTTGCTCACAGATCGCCATTACCTGATGTCGTCGACCAAGATGATATGGCATAGAGCAGGAAACTCGTCATCGTTTAACGAAGTTGTGGCTGAATATTTTCGACGCCGTTAAGAAGAAGAGGATTCAGATCGGATTGATAGGGAAGTTATGTTTTAACATGGGAGGGGATGGTAGACCAGGCGATGTTTCTCCGCCATCTCCCACAGCCTGTGCTCTTTTCTTCCTGTTGCTTGTGTTCGTCAGGATCGCAAGTGACCTTGACAACAATCCACCCGGTAGAGGTTGTAATGGCGATTCAGCAGGTTAGTGTTGTGAAAGCGAGCATCATGGTCGAAGAGTAAGCCGAGAAGGAATGAAGGCAGGAGCTTAGAGAGATGGCTACTTTTCCTCTTGTGGGGTATTCTTGATGATTTTACTGTTGATGTTTGAGATCCTGCGTGCATTCTGTCCTCGACATATCCCATCTGAAACCATGCTTGGAAAAGATAAACTTCAAAGTGACTATCAATGGTGGATCAACGTGCACAACAATTCGGACATAAACTGCTGCTTATTCCAACTTAGATCATGCTGATTTCGAGGGTGAGGGTTTTTTCTGCTGCAGCTGAAGAATTGCATTTCCTTCATTGACTTTCGAAGTTTGTGCCGAAATTCGAGGAAGTTCTAAGGAAAAGATTTTGGTCTGAATGTGGAATTGCAACATGGTGCTGGTGGACTTGATCAAAGGAAGGCTCAGATCCACGTAACTGAAGATACTGGGCCAGTGGAAGCGTTTTTTTCAGACAACATGAACTTTCAAAGAATAATCTCCATCCGCAACCACACCGATCAAGGCTGCACACAACACAACTAAATCCAACAAATCCTGAAGGAAGACACGGATCATGTGATATGGCTCTGGGCAAGCAAATCTCATGGTTTTCAACAAATGCTTAGAACCGTCTTTGTTCCACTTTGGTCGAGAAAGGTGAACTGGGTGATGCTAGTCTTTGTTGGTCATGACTACATGCCAAGTAAACATCGCCTCACTCACCCCAACTCTCTCTTTTTTCCTCCTTTTTTATGCACATTACATCCAAACTTAGTTCTGTAATCCATCTTCTTTTAGCCCTAAATTAAATTTTTTTTGCAAGGTTTCTAAGAGAACCCCACCTGAAAGTGTGTCCAAAATATAACAATAAAGTGGAGTGATCCTCATCCTGCCATGCTCTTCGTCTTCGTGTTGCTCCTTTTTTCTCACTCTTTAGCTCATTGTTTTCATGGTATCGCCATTCGGCTCTCCCTAATTCCTCCCTTTTATTCTGAAAACCATTTACACCTGAATTGTAAATGGTTTTCACATATCATCCGTTTTTTTTCTTTGTTTTTCTGTGTGTATGTTTCTTACAGATTTTAGAATATGAAGCTGGAGGATGGCAATAGAAACATTTGGTGACGATGATTGATATGTCTGGAAAGAAGAAAAACAAACTAGTTTCTTCTCATTGTTGAGAGTTTGTTGAGGTTGGTTGTGGAAAGTGCACTGGAAAATGAATCGTTGAGAGAAGTTTTAGGAGTTTCTTAATTTTGATTGATTAATTTTAAAATAAATTTAAATGTTATTGTGTTAATAATGTTTGAGTTATTATGAGAAACTACACTCAAAAGATAAATATAGTTATAAAAAAAAAAAAAAAAAAAAAAAAAAAAAACTCAAATTTATCTTGAATAGGATTTTACATATCTTATAAATTTTAGTTGAATATCAATAAAAAGAAAACATCTCCATAATGTGTTTCAATCCAAGGAGTGTCTTAGACATGACCATAAAAAAATTATGTGGTTATTAGATGTGGAAAACCACAAAATAGTGAAATCACAATTGATAGTTAGTAATACAATAAATTTTGTGGCATAAAATTTGTGTAGAACAAATAGGGTTTAAATCTTGGTTGTATGCAAGCAAATTGAAAAAATTGAATACTAAGTATCTATTAACAAATGATTACTAAATGAAAACTTTTAGAATAAAAACTTATATTGTACTATAATTATACTTAATAATATTTTTAGGAGAATGTTAAATAGACTCAAACTTTTACTAAATTTACCTATTGATTCTAACCATCATGAAGAAAAAAAAATTGATCTCTAAATTCATTTCTCCACTATTGGATTCAAAACCAATAAACACCAACCATATTCATCTTGATTACTATATTCTTTATCTTGGATAGGTCAATTTAGTAAAAAACCTAGATTTATTTAGCATTCTCCTATTTTTATAACATAATATTGGGTATAGACATATATATATATATGATATTTTAAATATTTCTTTTTTAAAAAAAATTACATTATATTAAATTAGAAACAAAGACTTTATTAAAAAAATAGTAGTATTTAAAATGATTATAACATATAATTGTATGTTTATTTTTTTATATAAATGTATTTATGATATTAAAATCAATAAATAAAATTTTCTTGATATTTTTGTTTTAAATTAAAACCAAGTTTATCTTGTTTATGAAAATAAAATATTCTTAGTTATTAATGTTTATGCCAAATATTCTAAAATAATTTTTATACAAGACTTTTATTTGTATAGATTATTATTATTATATTTTTTTATTAGATGAATCTCATGTTTTTATAAAAAAAAAAACATATAATTATATATTTGATTAATATCTTAACAAAGTTAGAAGTAAATTCGAAAATAACTAGTTGATTAAATAATAAAATTTACAAGTTTTCTTTATGTATAAACAAGGTATTAAAAAAATTCTTGTATAAGCTTAGATGTTCTATTAGATATATTTGCATTGATGTTATTTATTGCATAATTTATGTAATAACATATGAGAGTTCCTACAACAAATATGAAGTTACTAAAACTTACTTGCTTCAGATTGCAAATTAAGTTTTTGTCGTAATTAATCAATTAGTTGATAATAATTATTATTATTATTATTATTTTTAAAACTGTGCACTTGTTTGTATGTATTTATGTATGTTAATCTATATGTATATATATATATATATATATATATATATATATGATTGATTAAAGTATAATAAAATAAAATTTATTTTTGTGCTAAGAATTTACAAATTGGTTTTCAAAATTATGTTAAATAATTACAAAATCTTAAGAGTTAATCATAATTTGAAATCCTTATTTGAATATTTTTTCTTCTATTTCTTAATTTACTACATCTAATCAATTTTTTTAATATTATTTTATTATTATTATGATAGTTATTTTTTAAATTTTAATTAACAAATTACAATATAAAAATATAACTTTTTATCTATAGAATATATTTAGTTTTGCTATATGTTCTCCTTGACAGTATTTTAAAAAAGTAAAAAAATAATTTAAATAATAATAATATTAATGTCATAATACGTCACAAAGGTTGGTATTAAATGTATGAAAATTTCCAGTCATATGAAAATTTCCAGTTATAACAAATTTATAATTAAAAATAATTTTTTTCATTATTTTTTGGAATATTCTTCTATATATATATATATATATATATAATTATTAAAATTATCAGTTTATATTTACGATGTCTTTCAGGACTTTGAAATTATATACACATCTATATTTACACATTCAATTATATTGTAAAAATACAAAAATAATTATATTTCAATATATAATAATATATATTATTCAAATTTTTGAACTAAAATATTTAAAAATTTCCTAAATAACTTCAAGTGGCAAATGAAACTACTCTAAAGAATTTTGTATACTTTGTTTTTTGAATATTTTGATTTTTTTATGGAATAGATTTTATTTGATTTTAGAGTAAAGTTACCAATTATGTACAATTAACCATTACACCATAAATACATTTATCAAAGAATATTTGAAATAACTCTCAACTTCTATTTAAAAGTCGATGTATTGATTTGAGCTTGATGAGCTATAAATTTAGACATTAATGTTGTGTTTATTAATGTTGTATATATTGAATTTTTTTTACATTTAATTTTTATTAAGATTTGAAGAATATAAAGATGTGCTCCTAATTAGTATAAATTATTTTACAAACATTATAAAACAAGAAATTACTTTAAAATATAAAAAATTTGGATAATACATGCAAACATTGGAATCAATAATCTCTAATTTTCAATGCCGTTTTTTCATTTAATCCTCATCCATTGCCTTCTGCTCTCCCTTCTTTACATGCTTCCCAAAGATTTTTGAATCTTCTTCTCATGTGAAGAGAGAGCCAAAATCTCTTAGATACACATAACTAGCATGAAATGGAGAAAAAAAAAAACAAAACAAAACATATGCATAAATGTCTTATTTAAATATTGCTTGATCAAGGGTCACATAAAAAAATCATACTCTTTTTACTATTCTAATAAGCACATCCATCAAAAAAGAAAAAAAAAAAAAAAAAAAAAAAAAAAAGAAGAAAAAAATCCAACAATCAAGGAAGTTTCCCCTAATTCTTAGAAACATGTAGTAATTCCGGCATATTTTGGAACCACCACCAAATATCATTTAAAAATTTAAATTTTTTTCTCATTTCCCATAAACCACCACTCACCGATTCTAATAAAGCACATATAAAAATGCATCACCCTAAAAGTTTATATATAAAAATAAAGGACCCATAACATAACAACTAAGGACCCCTATAAATAGACGTCAACCCTTATTCCGCGCGGCCACGTGGAGGAGTCCAGGCTCACCAAAGACGAAGGCACAGTGGCAGCAGCCTACGCCGCGAACAGGAAACGAACTCACTAGAAGTGGGCCCAAGTGTGAACGTAACTACAGAAAACGACCGGATACAGACAGTCATTATTACCGTAATCGTAGATTCAACCGCTTGAGAAACCCGCAAATTTGTACAGGTAGAAGGGGGATAGACCGGGTGGTGCCGGCGTCCCGGTCGTCCAGTGAACCCTCATTAAAGTCCCTCGACACCCACGGAGAGCCTCAGTTTGTATCTCTCTCACACACTCCCTCTCGTACTCTTTGATCGCCATCGCCACGCTCGTCTTTTCTCTTTTGTCGTCGCAATTCTGTTTTCTAAGGGTCTCAGAGCTGTATTTGCTTTGTAGCGTTTTTGTATCTAAGGTAACAAACAGTCCGTGCGCAATTTGCAGCATTTCTTGTGGAGGTTTATAACCGTAGTTTTGTCTCCTTTCGGATTGTTCATGAATGCTTTTAATTTGTTTTTTAATCGGCGTTTAATGAGTTTTCGCGGTGCGGCTGGAGAGATGTCGTGTTTTGGATTTTTCTGTCTGGGAGTCTTGTCCTGTTTCTATGAGTCGAGGATTTGTCATATAGGTTTCTGTGCTGGTTGTGTGTAATTTTATGGTCTTCCAGGGTTTGTCGTGTTGTTTTGAAGCAACTTGAGGTCTGGAGCGATGCATGTGATTGAGGAGGTTGGGAGGAAAGCTAATCAGTAGTTTTTATGTGATATTGTGGTTTTTGACTCTCCTACAGTTTTCCCTTGTTTTTATTTTTTATTTTTATTATTTTATTATTATCTGTGTGGAGGAGAGTTTTTATTGGAGAGGACGCGAGCCACTTTTTTTTTTTTTTTTTTTTTTTCCCGCGTTTTTGCTCTTTTGAAGAGGGGACTGTATTTTATGAACATCGCGGTGGTGACCGAAATTCAGAAGTTGGTCCTGTGTCTAGTTATATTCGGTGTTTCTGAATTTTTATGTCTTATTCTCTGTGAATGCGGACGGAGACGTGGTGAGGGGGTGCGGTGTTGGTTTTTGTCTGAAATGTGTCGTAACTGGATACTGATGTCCGACAGATGATGCAGAATATAATTTCTTGGTTGAACGCCGCTGCGTCAGGTGCATTTGAAGTGTACCTATCTTTGTTCTTGAGGTGCTTCGTTTTGTCTCCGTCTGCCGCGTGGTGTAGTCTGCTTGTGTGGCAGTATGTGCAGTTATCTGTCTGTTTTTTCTTTTCCTTTCTCCTTTTTTGTTTGAGGCTTATGGAAGATCCTGGCACTGCAACGTACCACACTTAGTTTGAGATTCTGATAGCTGTGTGTATTTCCATTTGTAGGACCCTCGGAAATGGCTGCCGACCACGGGAACATCCATATTGTGAATAATACTGTAGAGTGGAAGACTAAGTTGGACGAGGCGACGAGCTCTGGAAAAATTGTAATCGTGACTGCGACCATGTTTCTTCTCATTCAATTTCCTAATGCACTATTTTCGCCTCCCCTTGTGGGGTAGCTTCTGTAGCGCGTGTTTAGGTCGCTGGATTTTTGCGTTTCAACTGAAAATTTGATCTTTTTGGGGGCAGGTTGTAGTCGATTTCACTGCAACATGGTGCGGCCCTTGCCGTATGATGGCTCCAATTTTCGCTGACTTGAGCAAGAAGTTTGAGAAGCTGCTCTTTCTGAAGGTCGACGTCGACGCAGTTCAGGTACTGCCACGCTTGGCAATCCTTTATTCAAGATGTTCCACGAGTGTATTTTGAACCAGGATTGGTCCTCGTTTGAGTTATTTTACTGTCTGCACAATCTGCAGTTGTATTAAACTCTTGATTTCTGTTATCTCGTTTTGCAGGAGGTCACTCAAGAGTGGGAAGTTCGTGCAATGCCCACTTTCTTGTTCATCAAGGATGGGAAACTGCTCGACAAGATTGTTGGTGCCAACAAGGACGAGCTCGAGAAGAAGTGCAACCAATACGCTAGCCAGCCTGTTGTTGCCACTGCCTGAGAATCATGGTTGTATGTAATGATGTGCTCGACTTCCTAAGAAGGCATATATATATATATATATATATATATATGTAGCTACTGCACGTTTGGTTTTTTCTGTTAGGCTTGCTTAAATCCTCACTGTTTACCTAAGGGTGTATATACGACTGTGTTTGTAAGCAAGGTGCAAAATAAAGGATCACTATTACTATATGTGTCAGTTCCCCTTCTGTTCATGTATGTTTGAAACTTGTATATGATGTAATAAATTCACTGGATGCTGACATAGTCCCAGTATGTGTGGGGAAGCACGTGTAAAGAAGATATATTTCCATGATATATTGGATCGAATGATTGTTGCAGAGTCGTGCCCATGTGCTCATTTCAAACCTACTCTATTTTCTACAGAAGCTATCTTCTAGAGTAACCGATTATCCTCGACATTAATCCATTAACAGAACCTCACACATTGCAGAGCAGTTTATTTTTATTTTTATGGCCCAGTGTGAGATATATATATATATATATATATATATATATACATATATATACAAATTTCAGGTGAAGAGTGGTTCACACAATCGAGAAATCTGATGACATGTTGGGTTAAGAAAGTCTCCATTTAGAGTTGTGCATGTGTTCACAAATATCTAAAGAGGCACAAACTTAGTAAAACATGCCCTCTGGATTGCAAAATAGAGGAAGTCAATTTATATATCTGCGTGTAACTGTACATTGTGGAATGCGCCCACTCAGAACAGGAGTGTTGCCGATATTTGTGGGTGAAATCCAGGCGTCTGCAGACTTGCCGGACCACTTGACACTCGCTCTGGTAGTCAGAATTAATTTTTTGTGTTAAGAAGGATGTCTATTCTTCATGACATTGTGATGCAACCTCATCATTTACATTGTTGAATCTTTAAAAATTATATATATATATATATATATATATATATATTTGTTAAATATCCTGGAAAGTCTTCAATTTATTCATTTCTGGTAATGACAACATATATATATATATATATATATATATATATTTACATATACATATATGTGTTATGTATTGTAATGTTATGAGTTTATAAAAAGTATCACTGAACTCTCTACATACACATCAATGTAGTCTTATGTAAAAGAGTTTACAGTGTGTGACAATAAATAAAACTCAACGTAGAGTACTAAAAATGAATGATTAGAACTGAAGATATAAACTTGATGCTTTGATGATAGATAGATAATTCTATACAAAGAAGATCAAAACTTAGTATTAAGAAGTGGTTATTCTTTGAAATTTATCTAGAAATTCAAATAACTATTTCGAAATGTATGCGGACTGGCAAGACACAAAATAAGCAAGAATTAAAAATGGAGTTTCACAAGTATACATATGACCTTAGCTATACCGACTTTCATACTATTTGGAGATTAAAAAGCTTGTTGTACAAGCTTTTTGCAACTTGCTATACAATATATTAGAATATATATATATTTTTTAAAAAATACATCTCCAAAAAAATGTGTTATGAAATCTAGTAGAATAATCTTTCTAACAAGACATTCTACCTACAGTTTCGAAGAAGTTGCTAGAAAGTTCTAAAGCAATCTGAAAAAGGTTCTACAATGATTTCAAATAGTATGGGTCATTTTAAAATAATATATAAATATATGCACATGGTACCATTTTTTTAATGAAAAATTACACATAAAATAAATTCAAATTATATATGGTGGTAAGTCTTTAATGGTGTCTAATGTTGAAGTTTGATGACCATTTACAAATGTGATTTTTTATTGGCGTTTTTATTGACGTTTTTTATTTTTTTTATTTTTTTATTTTTTGTCACCATTATAATTTTTGTAAATATAAATTCATTTGCAGATTGATCTGATCCAAAGACTAAGAAAATCATGTAAGATTTTCGTAATAATAGACAAAAAAATAATTTTGGAGAAATTTAGGGGTTTGAAATATGTTGAATATTTTTCTTGTTTTTTCATTGCCGTAATTTAAATACAGCTAAAGAAAAGAAAACCACCGTTGCAAAATAGAGTCAATATTGGATTGATGTTGCACCTTTGATTTGAGATTCTTGTGCTTTAGAATTTTAATAATAGGCTTTATGTCTCTCGAATTTGTAGATGCATGTGATTTATTTATTTTAGTTTAGTTTAATTTTTGAATAACATGCAATAATATTGTCAGTACATTTGCATAATTTTTCAGACAACATTTGTTAAACTGTACTATACTATTAAAAACCTACAAAATTTGAATAATCTTTTGGTACAAGTATATCAAAGAAGACTTGAATAATTCTTGGCTATCAAACTTTTTTAACCTATAAAACATTGTAAACCAAAATAAAGGTGTTTTTTAAGATTTGTTCAAATTTTTGAATTTTTATTGTTATTTGTTTATCTATTTTTATGTTTTTAATTCTCTGAATATTTCTTGTAATTAAAATAAGACCATTTGTTCAACTGTGAACATTTTTAACATTCTTTAAACATAGGTGGCTTAAAAATGAACTGTTTTTTGTTTTTATTTATAAATCCTTACTTTTCACCATTGCAAGAGTGATTATCTACAATATTATTGGAATGAAGATGGATATGTCTTTCAGTTTGATTTGAGGGTCATTTTCTAGTCCATTTGACATCTTTATATTTTAAAATATTGGATAAAATTGTTGGAAGCTTTTACCAAATATATATATATATATATATATATATATTTTTTAATCAGTCCCATTGACTTCTAATTCGTTTTGTGATGATTTCTCATGGAGGAACATGTTATCTGCTTATGTTGTAACAGTGTGAATATGTTGATCCACATAAGTAAATTTTTAGGTTAACATAATCTTGTCTCAAAAACAAAAATTAAAAATAAAAAAATAACCATTGATAATGGTGTGAACAATTATTAAATAGTAGAATGATCAAAATATGCTCAATATTTTCTGATGTACATGTAGAATTGAGATTGTATATATCTAGATATGTGTATGCATATAGTTAAAAATTTGTTTTTTTAATTTTATTTCATGTTTGATGTACTAATATGCTACAATGAACTTTATATGATATTTCCCTATTACTTACGTGCTTTACGAAATTGGTTTTTATTTTTTTTATAAAGAATAAAAATATTACCATAAAACTAAAGAATAAACAAGATTATATATATATATATATATATATATATATATATTAATAAGGAGAATGTTAAATAGACCCATGCTTTTACTAAATACACCCATTCTTGATGAAGAATATGATATTCATGATGAATGTGGTTGGTTTTTGTTGTTTAGAAATCCCATAGTGGGAAAATAAATCTGGATGTTATTATTTTTTTTCATAATGGTTAGGATGAGTGGGTCAATTTAGTAAATTTTTTGGTCTATTTAAAATTTCTCTCTCTGTATATATATATATATATATATATATATATTATATATGTCTATTTATTTTATTATATATATATATATATATATAATAAAATACCACCAATATTTTCAATTTCTTCTTATACGGCACATCCTTAATAAATGAGAAGTCTAAAGGGTCTGTATAATATCTTGGTGCCATTATTTCTCAAATCCAAATCCAAAAACCAAGTTCTTTTGTTCTTTTTGTTTTTGTTTTTTGTTTTTTTGTTTTTTTTCCCTTTCTATTTCTTCTTTTTCCACTCACAAACATCTCTTTTGATTGGTAAATACAAGTTTGAAGAAGACTGTTTTTTATTTTTCTTCTTTTTTTTCTTCTTTTTTTTCATTCTTATTCTTCTTTCTTCTCCTTTTTCTTACATACTTCCAATGGGGGTGCTCAGTTCAATTGCCAATAGTGCATGAATTCGTAAATAAAATCTTTGCAGTTCCAAAAATATTTGCATCATGGAACCCACATGCAAATATCTGCAAAGTGGATAGAAAAATTGAAACATATGAACTACGAGAATATATTCATAATGTATGACCACTTGGCCATGGACAATAGTGTAGTCTTTGTGTCCATTCCTTTCACATGTTTATTGTGTTGCCTTTCCAAAGAGAGACAATGAATGGATGAATGGATATTTCTTTTCTTTCATTGGCTATTGCTAGTTTTTCCCCAAAATTATAGAGTGCTCAGTTGGGGCAAGTTTAATTGAGAAAGTGTGGATGTGAGTTTTTGTGGTTCCCACATGTTTTTTAAATATGAAACCACAACATAAAACTTTGGTTTTGATATGAATTATTATATTCAGTTTTTAAAGTCAGATCAAACCATTAATAGCTTCTTCTTTGTTTATCATTTCATTTCGTTTTGTTTTTGTTTTTGTTTTGTGTTTTTCTTTTCATTTTTTTTTTTGAAAAGAAAAGAAAAGTTTGACATTATTGAGTTTTCAGGTTTTGTTTTGATGTCAGATAATTGAGGACTTAACTATGGATAAAAAAGAATTTTGATTTAATATGACACTGCATTAAACAATAAGAATTTTTGAAACAGAAATTTATGATTTAAAAACCTTTGCATTACATATATATATATATATATTGGTAGAATAAGAAAATGCACATTACAGAGTACAAATCTGAAATTATGCATCAAAGTTTATTTTATGTATATATATATATATATATATATATATAATCTTAACTTTGTACACAAAGTCAAATTAGTTTTGCTACAGTAAACTAAATTTGTAAAAGGTTCAATCAGCATAGTCAATAAACTAATCAAGACATAAGATGCTTTTATGCTATAATTAGAACGTGGATTGGGTTTATACTTCTAATGCATACAATGTTTGTATCTCCAATGCATCTAATCTATGTCAATGAATTGTATTGTGTATTAGGTGTGTACAATAAAAATTATTTGGATTTTCCTGGTTGTTAGTATTCTTTTTAAAGCCTCCGTGTAATTCAGAGATATTCCATTTGCTTTTCATAATCTCTTTATTTTTATTTTTTATTTTTTGATAGTGGAATGGCAAATTAAAAATCAATATACTGCGAACGTATTTTTTGTATCTTCTATTCAATTTCAAATTCCATGAAATTCATAAAGTTCAAGTTAAAAAATAAAATAATGGATTCAAGTTTTTTGATATCAAAATTATTTAGCACATCTTTAGTGCATTTTCTTTAGCTTTTGGTACTGCAGCCACAACTTTTAACTACTGCCACCACAACTCTCCATCCACCATATGCCATCTTTGCTCAAAACCTATCAAATTTATCAAATTTTATGTGTTCAATATCTTTCAAATCATTTGATTGGAATAAAAAATGAAAACCAAAGAAATATGTCAAGTAGGTAGCATGTTGTAGTAAGAATTGCAAAATTTGTGATGGCATTGGAAATATCCTATATATATATATATATATATATATATATTCTCATATAATTTAAATATAAATTCATAAAAACTACATTTTAGTGTTATATTTCAACTATTTTACAAATTTTCTTAATATTTTTGGTTTTTATGAATTTTACAGTGTAAGCCATTATAATTATTTATTATTTTTTCTTCAAGTATATATTCATTATATCATATAATCTGATATTTTGACATATTTATTGCATACAACCACTCAATAAGGTAACTTTATAATCTTTTAATCTCAATCTCTGAATAAATGATGAAATGAATTTTTTTTATTAAATTTTATTTGATGGTCTTCTCACACAAGCTCATAATAAATAAAACAAAGGTTTTTGTTTGACATATGGAAGATTTAAAATCTTATCATTCTTTTTAAGTCTTTGATGCGATCTTTACAAGAATGTAACCTAAGCTAATGGTGACCATTAGCTTTGGATTACATTATTCATATAAAAGATTTGAATTACATTTAATTTTATTATTTGAAGGGGTAAGTGCCAAAACCATTTTGCATAACATTTGTCCTCAATCCACACAGTGACCACCTTTAGATCCTTCATTTTACAAAACCTTTGAATGTAAAAATGGAATGTCACTGGAGATCCTACCTTTTGTTGCAATATTTTTCTCAAATCCAATCCCTTTTTGACACCCACAAATGACACAAAATCAATGTGACAATGAACAAAAAAAGTACTTCTAGTCTGATAAGTGCTACTTTAAATGAGTACTACAGTGAATAAGAGTTGTTAATGTACCAAAGATCCGCATCAGAATAGCACGAGCGAACTCTGCAATAGTGTAGTACTACCCTGTCATGGCACGTTCCAAACATGGACAGAGACTGAGGCAAAGCCTGAGTGGGAAAATTGTTCACATGGAAAATGCGTGAGTAAACAACTGGGAGCTACTGCAAAGTGATAAAATAAAATAATATAAATCTCCAAAGTAGGTTTCTATGTTGATTAACATAAAGATATACAATTCTGCGTTACTGTAGGTTCACATTGTCCATGTACAGTGTGTCGCTTAATTGGGTATAAGGGAACAAAGGTGGTTTCTAATGCATGGGGCATTCTCGAGTAACTTGCACAGGACTTAACTGGTTGGGAAGCGCTTATCTGGTTGCAACGCCGACCAACCAATTTTAAAATTAGAGCAACCCTAATCGTTGTTTTAACAATTTGAGAGGTTCGTCGACCTGGGTGAACCATGTTGAACAGAGATTTAGAACAACACTGGCGAGATATGACTTTCAGAATTGTCAGGACGGAACAATTTGCTGCATCCAAAATAAAACAGAGACAGTAACTCAGCTCCTCATATTGCAATCCCAACAGAAGTCAACATCTGAATGAGGAATGAAATCCACCATTCGGAGCAGCTACGTTGTTACAGTGCTTCAGCTATCCATATGCTCCCAGAATAGCTGGATAGAACTGAATGTTTCTCATCTGACTGATCTCCAAGTAGTCACCGTGGATTGTGCGCCGCTCCCATCTTTTGGCAGGGTCATAAATCCGAGATAGGAACAGCAGTAATTTATAATTAAGTATCAATATTCACTGAAATATGCACCACAACAAACATCACCTCAAACCGCCATCCCAAAGTTTTAACTAGCTTTAGAAATTGTTCATAACCTGTTTCTCTGGTCATAATCAGAGTAATTCACCAAGAGTTGCCAATTGGTATCAGAGGATTCTCTACACATATTAACCTGAACTGTTGAATCAACTTATTCTTAGTCAAACAAGGGATCACAGATAGTGCTTACATGAGGAATTATCAGATTCTCTTTCACGTAGAGAGAACTGTCAACAGTATCTTGCGCAACTCTGAAACCAGCTGCTGTTGAACTGCGTGCAAGAACTCAACTATTGAATCTCCATTGCAAACCTGCACTCATCGAGGAACCAAAGATTTCCATTACTAATCAAATTCAGATTATAAATTTAATGCAAATCCAAGAGAGCGTCCGTAGATTGAAAAGTTCAGATTGAATCCACCTACCCATGGTAAAGTTCTTCTTGCAGTTACTCCACTGGTTGTGTGTTTTACATAGGCTTTACGCACTCTCTCGGCTTGATCTTCAGCCCCAGATTCTCTACAGTTCCACACTCCACACCCTTCATAGAATTGTAAGGTGTATACCAGGACTGTCCAAAGTAAGAAATGATTCTCAAAGAACTCAACTACACCTAATGAAGCAAAGAGTACAAAGCAATCTGAAGGCGCTTATCATACCTCAAACCAATCAGAACTTGGAAACTAAAATGAGTAGATTTGAGAGCGAAAAGGAGAAACAACAAGGGCTTGAGCTCTCCCTTCATAATAAAAGAAAAAAGAAAAAAGTAGAAATTAGAGCTTTAATCACCCATGTTAGGATGGCTGGGGGTGAGAATGAGCATCATACAAGATCTCAGATAGAAACTCTCATCGACTACAAGTAGATGGTGAATGTACGATGGCGAGGAGAAGAATAATCTTCATGCCTATCAACGGTAAGAAGCTGGTCTCAACGGCTGGATTTTTACCACATTTTCCTACTTTCTGTTCTATACTGGGTTCTTCCTTTTGCTATTCTGCAATGCAAGGTAGGAAAATCAGCATTCAAGATGAAGGTATGCAACTCAACTCACCCACAGTACCAAGAAATTTCAGCATAGGATGCCTTGCAGCAGTACTTCAAGAAACAAAAATGACTGGAAAATTCTATTTGGATCATTTTGTTTTAATGATAGCCAGTCGGATGAGGTCATTCAGAAGTGTCAACAGAGTATTGCATGATGAAGGACGGCCAAAGATCCCTAATATTCACACAAAAACGAATTACACGAGTGACTGTATTAGGATTTAGTTCTCTGACAAACATTACCAGGAATAAGGCACTACATACCAGCTACTTCATTCTCTTCATCTGCATCCTCACAATTCCATCAGCAGAGGAAAAGCTTGAACGACTTCTAACCCTTCGTTTCTTCCGTTTTTGAGCACGCCTTTGCCCTCCCTGCAGAATCGACGACAGAATGAGCTATTTGAAAAGGAAAGAAAAGAAAAGATATACATATATATGTATATATATATAGTGAGAGAGAGCTACGCAAGAAATACACATTGTTAGAAGGCCTTGGATCAACTATCATATTTCTTGATCAATAGGCGACAAGGTCTTGGTGATTACTCCACAGTGAGCGAGCATATGCTGTTTCTACTCTTCGTCTTCCAATTTTGATCGCAAAATTGACCCTCTGTAACACCTGGACACAGTGATGAGTTTCCGAGCTATACTACAGTTACATAATCCATGCAACTGTAAAGTCTGATAAATTCAATCCTAGTAGCATCATGTTTAGCTGTGCCCACGTAACCCATTCATCGCCCACGCGAGACATGCGAGACAATGCCTGGTGAAATTGTGAGACTCAGAGAACAATGGGGGACACGCAGTTTTCTTGAGAGGGAGATGAATTTGAGAGAGGGAATAATCTCATGCGAGATCATCATCGTCGCAGCACAGCGAGCGGTGACCACGGTCATCAAAGCACGGCGCCGTCGACGGCGAGGACCTCCGTTCGTCCTCCGTCCGTCCTAGTTTGTGTCGCCGTCGGTTCCGCCGTTTGAGCGGGTCTTCATGTTTAGGAAGGGAGAAATAATATTGAGAAGTTTTACTTGGTTGGTTATTATTATTTAAAAAATACATGGAAAGTTTTTTTTTTTTTTTTTGAAATAGAATTCATTTTATGATATATATATATATATATATATGTTATGAATGGTGCCATTTTTAAAATTTGTGTTAAATGCTTATTAAGGGGTAGATTTTATAGGAATTTGAGATATTATTTTAAAAATTGATCAAATCGGTTAATTTTTCTTTTCATTCACAATATAAAAGGAAAGAAGACGGTTTTATTTTTAAATATTTAATCAAAATAGGATGTGGCCAAAAAAAATTTAGCATTTAAAATTTAAAATTTTAACTTTTTAGCACAATAAGCAATCTGTAATTTTATTAATTAAAAATTAATAAAAAATTAATAAAAAATGTCATAAAAGAATATATATATATATATATATATATCATTATCAAAATTATTTTTCAACATATATCTTTAAGTAGTTATTTTTACACATATTGCTATTGAAATGGTTGTTTTTGTGGAGTCATAAAAACATATCAAGGATATATACATAAAATCTTCATCATACATACATACTAAATACATATACATATACATATATACACCATAATTTTTTATTTTATTTTATTGTTTATTTTTGAAGAAAATTTATTTTGTTATATTTGTAATTGTAAAGTGTTATAAACATAGTGGTGTACGTCCTTAAACCTGCCACTTTTTTCTAGATTCTTCATTGACCTATCAAATTATTTCAAAGTATTTTATAAATCTTTTAAATGATTCTCCTGGAGATTTTTGGTAATTTTAACCAAGCTATTTCCACTAAAATTCTTGTTTAGATCTTGCTTATTTTGTGGTTTGCAATTCTTTTTGAATCTTTGCATGGCCATTTGATGTTGGTTTAACATTATTCAAATGAGTGTATCTCTTGTTTATTGATTATTTAACTTATTACACACATTTTTTAAATTTCTTGTCGTATTATAATGTACACCTAATAACGAAATTACTGTTAAATCAAATTGTTACAATCAACTCTTTTACTTTAGACTATAAAAAAAATCTTAAAAAATTTAAACCAACCATCTTAAAATTAATATTGTGCTAATCTCAATAGCATTGAACTTGTTATTTTGCTAATCTTTTTATAATAGAATTTATGGCGCTAAAAATGTTGTAAAATAATTGCAAGGGAAATTGAAAAAGTTGGTAAATGTAATACTTTAGATAAATTATATAGCACAACTGCCAACGAATATTCTTCTTTTATAAGATTAAAAATCACAGGAGCCCCCTTAATAGGTGTACCAAGTCATGGCATGTTCCAATCAACGAACAGTCACTAGTAAACAATTTTTTGCATTTAAATGGATGTTTGTTACATCTTTTTATTTTTCCCAATTTTTTTTTTCAATTTTTTAACAATATAATGTCTTCTATCAATAAATAAAAATCTTATAGTGGCTAAAAGAGAAGATGGTTTTCACAACATCTATATATTTTTAAGCGCACCATTCATTTTACTTTCTTTGTACTAGAATTTTTTAATTATCACGATATATATATATATATATATATATATATACACAGTATATTAGGTTTGTTGGTCGTGTAATTTTAACCTATTGATTACATTTACATCTTGGGACTGGTTTCCATTCCTATGAAGGTATGCATCACCCCAATTGAACTCTGATATTCATTGACTGCTATACAAGTTATTTCTTTATTTTACAATATTGAATTTACTCGATGTATTAGTGTAACATGCATAGATGTATTCCAATATTTACAGTGCTGCGTTTTCTATAAAAAGAAAAAAGAAAATAGAGAGCTTAATTCAAGTTTAGTACAGTAATTTTTGGATTGAATACGAAATACCATTGTTCCTTGGGATAAATTACACAAAACTACACGATTGTAATTGCTCCCATTCACTGCAAACATGAACTTAATAAACAAATTGTAGAATCTCATGATAAAGTAAAGAATACGGAAAAAAGAAAAAGAAAACAAAACAGCAATTCTTTTCTCACAGAAATTTACATGATCTATAAATGATTTTGTGATTCGGTGATTGCGATTCCAGAATGGCTACAGTTTAATGTTCAACAACTTGCATTAACTTGACTTCCAAAATAAATTCATTTAATTAGAATGTAGAAAACATCCCAACGAATTATTTTAAAAGAACATGCCTGAACCTTTCCCGGAGCTCCGCCTGAACGCCTTATTCCAGATAGGAAATGGTTCAATGTAAAAATTGAGAATAATCACCGAGCACCACAAATTGGACATCACGTGCAGCAAAGAAATTTGAACAAATCGCAACTGCAAAAAATTGAAGTGGCGAATGAATCTTTCAGCCCTGAACAAATTCACACGATGCAAAAGCGTCTCACATACTCGTCAATGGCTGTTCTTACATCCTACAAGGACTGCGTAGCTTCTTGATTGGCTGCGTTGTACTCAGTATCTGATTCAGCAAACTCAACACGCTGCTCTTCTTCGTGCCCAAAAGAGCGTTTGTGATGGCCTTCTTTCTCTGCACGATCCGATGGTCTGCCATCTTAACATGAAAATCGAAGCGTCGCAATCTGGGTTAACAGATTTAGCGTCAGAAGAAACTCATTCCAATAGCAAAGTTTGCTTTTAGCAATTACAACATTCAAACTTCACAGATACAACTCAGTGTTAGCAAAACTCGTTGAGTTCCTGCATGTGCACTTATCCATACTCAAGGGTACAGGAGTCCAACCTTGGCTCAGCAAGGACATTGAATGATCTGCCGTCATTTTCATCTTTAGATAAGGTTTTCCTAGAACTTGCAGATCTCCAAGACCAAAGAAAACTACGAGGTCCTGTCTGCGAATGTCTGATTCAAGCAATGCCGCTTAAATAACAAGCACCTGACTTAGGGACAACCAAACAAACACATTAGGTTAGCAAGGTCGTTACAGTGGTCTTTATGACATGTTGAATTGTTACTGAGGATGGTACGATCCTGAGGCTAAGCCTTACCCTATGAGAATGCTGGGTATGAAGAAGGAAACAGTAGAGACATTACAGAAGTATTCTCATACAGTTTAAAATGAAAACCACATGTTCTGACACGCACAGGATTGTGGAACTCATATACCAGCAGGAGTAGACATGACCAGGTGAAAAATGAGACTAGAAGTTAACCTTGATCTGAAAGGTGGGCAATTTGTTGACGAACGCACTCGTTATCTCCAACAGCAGGAGGATTTAGCTCAGATAAACAGCACAAGGGAAATTAAGAGCATTCGCCCACATGCTCCCCATCCCAGTAGAGAACGTCTATTGCATACCATAGAGCGTTCTAAACCAAGACAAAATGCTACATTCCAGCTATTATGTCACCTGTTCAATACTTGCTCCATTGCAGGTAAGCTGAAATGAATTGTCTACCTCTTCACTATTAGCCTCTGGGGTCAACCCTGACGAACCCTTACAACTCTAGCTATCAAATTCACAAAACTGCTTATTTATTTATTTATTTAGTGGCTATAAAAACGATAGACAACGGCACACATAATGAAGAAACCTGTGTTTCCCCCGATAACGGTAATTATCGATCAGTTTTTTTTTTTTTTTTCCTCCGATAAGAAAGGTAAAAAATAAAATAGAAAGACCCTAGAGGAGGTTATCGACCTCGCGATTAATGTACTGAGACAATGCCATGGAGACAACTACCACGACCAGATATCCAGTCAATGATATCATGGTCGTAATAGCCCAAGGTATTGAGAGAATGATACGCAAGAAAACAAGCTATTTGTTCAGCATAATGCCGATGAACAAGTTTTAACGTGATCCTCCGCCAACTTCTGAATGGCCTTTCTTCTGTCCGATTTGGAGAGGCTACGTACGTTTACAAGAGGCCCAAGGTACTTAGGAGAATCCGGGAAGTTGAAACTTCGGCACCTCTTGGCACTGCAATGATACTTTCCTGCATCAAATGCAAGTGCAGCCTCCTTTTCGGTATCATAAGAGCCAAGCCATACTTTCTCGTTTGTTTGACCTATCCTGATCTCGGACACCCATTTCCCATTTCTCCTCCGAACTCCCTTGTACAGCTGACTGCGGTTCTCACCGAATCCTCTAATTTTCTTTCGTATGATAGACTGTCCCTGCTGTAACCGTTGGGAAAACAGAGTCAACATAGCACCAGATATCCAATAGTGACAAGCATGGAGATTGAAGGTGATGATCATTACCAGTGGACGTTTCTCCAACTTTTTCCTCCGTACAAGCCTTGTGAGCCTTATACAGGCGCCGATAATTCGAACCATGACTCCCCAACCTCGCCCTGCATTGGCTTGGTGAGGTGCTAATACAGCATCCTCCGCACCAATTTCGAAAAACTGTTTGAACCACTGCAAGCGGTCTTCGAACTTCAAAGGTATGGTGGAAGAACTCCCCGAATCTATCATGTCCATATTGCTTCTAGCATCCATGCAAAAAGGAGACAAGCTTTGATTTCCTACTTGAGCGGAACTGGGCGATTGCCATTCCACAATGTTATCATTGTCCGCGTCGAAATGTCCATTGGCGGACAGAGAGGATGAATCAAATGAGTTTAAATGAGCCATCCCTGGTGTGGAAGGAATTTGATTAAGTTCTGAAGCATTCGATACGTCGACAACTGCCGAACCCACCAATGTCGAGTCCACAAAATCATTGCCAGCTAGCATCGGCTGAAACTCCCCTCCTTGTGATTGCATTCCCAAATCATGCTGAAACACGGGGGAAACTGTAGGACGCATGCCAGGCACTGGACTTTGGTGACCTGGTTGGTATAAAGGTAATCTCCCAATCGGCTCCGGTTGGACAAGAGACCCGTAATCCTCAGGAGATAAGGGATCGAGGTACTTCGAGTCAAAATCGGACACATGGCTGCCTTCGGCGCTATGATGGCTATCAGCCCAACCCCTGAACTCAACTTGCAAGTTGCGAGATGGCGCACTACTGCCTTCAGCTGCATGGTAGCTGTCTATCCAATCATTATACTCAGCTTCCGATGCAGGAATCGGTTGCGCCGGTCCCCAGAAGTGTTCGTAAAACCTTTTCCATTCAAGTTTCTTCAACTTCAGCTTATTTTTGAAGCGCCCCAACACGCTAGCCTGCCGAATGAGCAGCCCCCACCGACAAGGCTTCGTTTCTGTCATTATTTATGGTTTCAAACCCCTAACCCTACATTATGCAAAACAAACCAGCATCAGTCGGTACGTGTGCAGCAAAAACCTCGTAGAAGTAGACGCATGTAAACCGGCACATAGCTTGTTTTCTCACACAAAAGCACGGAAATACTGTCAGGTTCCTCTTATCAGAGACGTATACTTCAAAGGCTTCCGTTAATGAGTTGAACTGTCATCCACACATGTAATTGTCTGACTTCATTTGATGCTGTGGGATCTTCACTCCCGCATTAGAAAAATCATAGAACGCTTACGAATATGTCTGAGAACATCTAAGGACATTCGCCATCGAAACAAGACGTAGTAAAAAGTCTGAAGTTAAGTGCACATACAAACAACGTTCAGAAGATATGTGGGTGATGACCAACCTGGTATGGAGGAATAGAAGAAACACGAGGTATGGAATAGATCCAACACTTGCAAAGCGGAGAAATAACCAGAATAGTTCTGGACAACAACGTGGACAACACACCACGGCTCGATTCTTCCCGATTCTGTAGTACCGACAATTGTGTCACTTGTGGTGACGTCGAATCCAAAACTAGCGGAGCAAAACTTCTGATCGCCACCACGGAGATTTGTATGCACGAACAACCAAAACCCCTGTAGAATCACTCCAAGGCACAAAGTTAAGAATTAAACTCGAGGACTTATGAGCGAATCAAAATCAACTATTCACCGAAAACAGCCAACGCTAGCACTCAACGCAACCTGAACTGAGCTAGAGAGCCGACTAGCTCGTGTTTACGCAAATACCGCCAAGTCGCGTACTCGACATGAATTCGCCCAACTCGACTCCAAACTGCGACGGGGAGGAGGCCAACATTCCCCGATTTGCGGCACTCACTTCTCCGCACAAACGAAGTCCGAAGCTGCGCGTTCTAAACCACCAACAAGTAACACAACCTTCGTCGCCACACATGCTCTACCTACAACCTCTAACGCTAAGGGAAAATTCGAGCGGAACGAGACGACGAGCGAGGAAACACAAACCCTGAAGCAAAAGCCTGACGTGATTCTAGGATCCCATCAAAACAAAACAGCAGCAAGGACTCGTAACAAGGTCCCCACCCGCCACCACCACGCTGGATCAAAACCCGCCATCACCAGGTGAAACCTTAACCAGGTTTTACTTTTCAGACCTGAAAAGTAAAACCTCAACTAAAATTTCACTACGAAATTCGGCTCGAAGGAGACGAGAGGGAATAAATCCCTCGCTAAATTACGCTGAGAAATTACGAAAAGCAAAGACGAGGAGGGCAAAAAGAATAAATAAATAAATAAATAAAACAAAAATATACCGACTACGGGGAACGAGGGGCGGCAAAAATCGACGCTGAAGGTGGAGTTATGGAGCCCTTCGCGCCAAAACGCAAGCGCACGGTTATGGGGTATACCCGTGGATCACATCCAACATTGGATGGATGGATGGATGAGTGTCGTTCGGGTGAGAGTGTGAGCTAACACGGTGCAAAATAGAATAAAATATGATATTTTGGAATTTTTGCTTTGACTTTGCTTTTATTTGTATGGATTTGGAAACACTCATCCATGCTCAATTTATTTATTAATTTACACTCCTACTCTCCATGTGTTTCTTTGCAGTTATTGCCTTCAGTTATCTTGTTATTTTATTACAAGAATATAATATCTATGGAGGGGGGTATATTGAAATTTTCAAATAACTTTACATTAATTTTTGTAATATCATGGGATGATATTATAGAGAGAGACTATAATAGATTCTATTATTGCCTCCATAATAAACATCGTAATATAGATGTAACACCAAAAACATCTTAATATAGACGCAACAAAAAATAAAAAATAAAAAATAAAAACTTCAAAGAAAAAAAAAGGGAAAAGTCTGAGTTGATAAATTGGAAGTTTTTTTTTTTTTTTTTTTTTTTTTTTAAGATTTATAAAGATGTATGCCATGTTTTAAAAGACCCACATCTATATTAAGATGTTTTTGGTGTTACATTTTTAAAACTTCCTCGTAATAGTAATAATAAATGTAATAATAATGACAACTTGTGTGGTTTTTAAAGAATGTATTATAACCGCTAATTCCTCAAATTTGTAATAATGTGCAAAAAGTATGATCCTTGTTATATTCATTATGCATGCACTATTCATAAGAAAAAGATGAAGTATTAACATGGTGCATGTGTTGAAATTGTGTATGCTTTAATGACTCAACTCTTGAAATATGTGAAGATTAAAAGGCCAAAAATTGAAGATGTGTTTTTTGTATTATTTAATCAATATGTTGAAAACATCAAGTGCATGAATGTTATTGATTGCACAATGTTCAATTTAAAGAAAATTACAAAACATTAAACCTTTTAGAACAACTATTAGAATTTGACATATCGATCATGGCGGTGAAGTCTGGGCAGGAATTGGGACCGATGCCGTTCCTGATCACTCGTGTCAGCGAATGCTTATTATTCTTATTATTCTTATTGTTATTATTCTTGCTGGATTATTTTCTGCAAGATATGATCGTGACAGTGAGTGAAATCCATCTGTCGTTTCGTTTGCTTGTGCTGTAGCTTTCAAAGTACACGATGTTCAAGGAGCTGTGGATGCGAGCATTTCACAGCTGAAGATTTTTTCATCCGCGACACCGGCAGATCTAAGCAAGGTGCGTTTTACATTGGCTTAAATCGTCGACGAGAAGAACAGCTCACCGCATATTCTGTGGGTCGAAGCATTTTGATCAGATCATCGTCTTTCCATTCTTCGTGTGCTTTTTCTAGCAGTCGAACACGACCCTTCGAAGCCTCTCTAGCCTCCTCAAGCTTCTGCTTTGATGGCATTGCTACATGAGCAGTTGGGATAAAGTTGAAACTAGTGGGTGTGGTTTTTTGGGTGGCGTGGTCGGGACCGTGGCAGTGGCATAAGAGCACCTGGTTTAGAGGACGATTGCGGGACCAAGAGGACTGAGAATGAAGCGCCACTGCTCTCACTACTGGTCGGGCCGTTTGGGCTCTTTTCGATGTCCTTTCTTTACTCGGACCGATAGTACTCATTATCCACTTCCCAGGTGTGGAGACGTCTCAATTGTCCTCATCAAATTGGCCCCACCCTCTACCCGACGTTGAGATTCAGACATCTTGCTACCGATACCCTGGATTCCAACCTCTCACACTAAAAAAAATAAAGTACCCCAAATCAGAAATATATCTGCAGCCTCGACCGTTAACGTCGCTCAGAATCATGACCACCTCTCGCTACAACCGTCGCCTGAAACATCCTTCTGACGCGTTAGTATATATTCCATCGTTCACTGAGGGATTCGAATTTTGTCACAGGTTGAAGCTTGTGGGTTTGTCGGGCGACTAAGAAGGCAGTGCAGTTTCGTTTGGAGAAAGGGGAAAAGAACAAGATATTGAGAAACTGGAAATGTGTCGTATTACCGCTGAAACTTTATGGAGGCAATTACAGAACATTGACCCTGGAAGCAAATACAGCAGAGGGTCGACAGTGCTTCAACTGGAAGTTGCTACTCAACACGAATGGTCCTTCCAGGCATCCAATTAGCGTTCTATTCTCAGGATGTTGGACATCGTGTGCAGCATCTCAGACTTAGATTTTTTCCTCCAGGTTTTCTGTAAGTTGATGATAATGTGCATGTTCAGACTGTTTTCTAACCAAGGCGTTGTCTTAGTAATTCTTTTTCAATCAGAAATGAGTGTCGAAATGTCCAGGTGGTGGTGGTGGCGGCCTTACAAGTATAGATCCATGATGAAGTTCTCAAGGTGGTAGAAGCCGTAGACAAGCGGGGAGTATTAAAATCCGTAGAATGGAAGACATGGTTATTGCTAGTGAGGATTCAACAGAAGCTATCCGACATTCAAAAATAATTTTGAGTGCCATACAAAATGGCGCTGTGGACACTCCGTCATCAGTATTTTCTCGCGCACATTTTCCTCCACAGCCCAATGTAAGCTCCACCACTAACCCCAGATTTCGACTCTTGGGCAATGTGAGACAACGGATCTCAAAAATTGTACTCGTGATTTGAGAGATTCGTGAAACGTATAACATTGATCGAGTTATTCATGCCGATGCCTGTTGGAGCAAGCTCGTAGCTTTTATTACAAGTAATAACCAATGCAGAGCAAGACGGCGCTCCCAGCTTTCTGTGCACACATGATTTCCTAATATTTGTCAGGAAACTTCGAATTTCGCGGCGTAATAGCCGGCCTTTTATCCTCTGGCCATATACAGAGCCTCTCTACACTACCGGTATGCAACCTCTGAACCTGAACCAAAACTGGGATTCGGGGGCATTCAAAATCTCCCCACGCACTTGGCGAAATTGGCTCAAAGTTGCACCCTAATGGTATCAATCTGGAACTGATTTCCTACAGCACATAAGACTCTACTATGAATTAGTTTCAAATTCCAAACTACATGTTTACGAATAGCAATCTTGAAATTCAACGAAAATAATGCTGTCTCTGCTAGTGTGCAACCGAACCTGCGACACCCAACACTGACATTTGGAAAGATACCATCATTGTTTCGATCGCTAGATTTTACATTGGAAGAGCGGATCGGTCCTCATCCCTCAGGGGTCGATCGTCACAGGCATCTGTGCCCAATCAGAGGGAGGATCACAACAAGGATGAATCGGAGATCGACGATCGATCAGCCCAATTAGCCAATCTTCGCCCAATTTGCCCAACTAGGGACACCGTTCACAATGGCGAACAGCATGTAGTAGCCTCCAGGTGCAATGGTGGCATCTGGCGGTCCCGTTGAGTCCACTGTGTACTTGCCGCCGCCAACTATCACTGGCACAGATGCTGCAAGTTTCAGCAATCTTTGGCCCTGCAACCGAGAATACAATAAATAAGCAAAAGGAACTGAATCGAGATGATCAAACACGTAGCAATGGAAGGTATTCAAATGGAATGGCGTCCTTTCTCTTGATGTTGCAAACGATCTCACTACTGAGTCTCACCTGTGCATACGAGTGCGTGACGAACGGCGAGTTGACCATTGTGAGCTGGATGCCAACAGTGAAATCACCCCCGTAAGTGACCGTGGCGGTGAACGCTCCTCCGTAGGCTATGGCCCCAGGAATCTCCAATGCGGGGCGAGTGCCGCCAAGGTAAGGGGGGTTGTAAGCATCGATTCTGAGCTCGGTGGGGAAATCTCCCGTAAATGTGTAGAACTGGTGCGTGTTGCTACCAGCACACAGAATCCGGCCATCAGGCAGAAGATTTGAAGTGGAGTGATACATGCGAGGAATCGTGGAGGGAGCAAGCGTTTGGAACCGTTCTCCCGCAGCCTTGTCCGGGGAGTACAGATCGGGGGTGAGGACAGGATCGCTAGCGTAACCCCAACCCTGGGAGCCCCTCGCTGCGCCGTTGATGATGATCACATCGCCAAGGGGAGTTAGAATCATGTCGCCCATGGTGCGTCTGTGGGGCATGGTCTCGATGGCCCATCCCCCATCACCCAAGGGGTTGATGCGTCCGCAGGTGTTGCTAGCGGGGGACAGCGCGGTCGGGTTGCTGAATGCACCCTCCGCCGCTCCTCCGCAAACAAGCACCTCGCAGCTCTTGAACCCATCATCGGATTTCAGCGGGAGCATCACGGAGCTTCCCGCAGAGGGGTAGTTCCGGGGCTCGCCTGCGAGCTGAGGGAGCTTCTTCACCACTACATTGTTTTGCCAGTCGTAGAGAACGGAGTCCTTGTTGGCGAATATGAAGAGGTTGTTGTTGGGGAGGAGGTGCACGAATGGGTAGAGGTTGTCATTCTGGGCACTGTTGGTCTGCACGTTAAGGCAAGACAAATTTAGACTTCTCCCCTGCGTGCTAGGATCTTCATTGTTCAGAAAAACCTCACAAGTATGCTGTAGAAGATCTCAGCATCAGAATGCCAGCACCTAGTGTCCAAAACCGATTTGAGAATTAACCATTCACCTAACTCATAAAAGAATACTTTCTAGATATTCTCGTTAAATGTCAACTCAATAAATCGAAACTCGGTGTCAATGAGGAAGGAGTTTGTCTTATTTACCTCCTGAAGAAGGGGCAACGTAGTTTGGCCGCGCCCATTTGCAGGTACATACTCAACAGTAAATGCGTTTCGGCCGCCAACCACTATCTGTGTGCCGTCGGGTAGCTGCTGGTTGGAGGCGTACCACCTTCCAATCTGGAGACTAGTATCTAGCTCCACCCAATCGCAACCCCCATCATCGCCGCAGGGTTGGTATTCTCTAATCTGTTGTCATTCACGCCCACCATCCCGCACAATTCTTAGTGAAGTCCATCGACAGTCTAGCCATTGTCTTAAGGCTATTGTTGTGCTCTTGGAGCCTCAAGGCACAACTTCAGAATGTACTCAAGATTATAAATACCTTGGCTACTCCTTCAGCGTCTCCGCCCGTCTGGACCATCTTTCCGTCGCCGTTGAACTGCCCGGACGAGCACCACGTATCGGTGAAAACAAACAGTGGCCTGATGTTGTTCGAGCCAGGGGAGAAGACCGCAGAGTGCGCCGTGCAGTCATTTTTATTGGCCTGCCATTGAGTAGAAAAAAGAGTGAGTGATTAAGCACAACGCATTTGATCTCCCTAATTTCAGGGTAATGTATAGGCGAATAGCTAAAACGTGAACACAACGGCATTGTTTCTGGTACTACTGGTCAGCTTAATAAATGTTTTTGATGAGATTCTATCCACTTCGAGTCGACCGAGTCGGGTACTATCAAACAGAGTGCCCATTTAACACCACAAGCACCACTTGTACAAATTATCTGTTCAACATGTAAGAAGGTCAACAAAATCATGGGAAAGCAAATGACTGCGTCCTGCAAACCGGTACATGAGGATAACGTCAAGTTTTGGATCGAAAACTGCTACTGTATGATTACATCACACACTATCTCTGATGCAAGTTCGTCGACTCTCAAAGAACACGAGTGCCAACGCAGTTGCGATTGGATTCACTGTTCTAGAGAATCTAGATAGCGCCTGCATTGACAAGTAGACTAGCAACTCGAAGACTAGCATTTCCCATGTTTGCCAGAGATGGACCTCATGATGTGTGCGACATTACATTAACGGTTTACAGACTCGGTGAGCGACGACTGACTGACACTAACCCGATCAGCTTCGTTTTGTCTGCACCGTCCGTTGTTCAAGGGAAGCTGTGAGTCACCGACATTGGTGCGGTCGAGAAGAATGACATTTCCGAAGCTTGTCACTGCAGCATGCATTGTTGCAATACCAGCATTGTCCTTCACTATCTCCCAGTACCCTTGACCGTTCGCTCCAGACTGCAACCATCCCGCCCACAGCAACAGAGCTGCTAACAACTGCAGGACATGGCGACTTCGCCAATTCCTAGAATACATCGTGCCACACAGCGCTGATTATTCTAAGATTCTAAGCACGAATGAAGCTCAAATTGCTCTCACTTGGATGTCCTCACAACGCCAGCAAGCTTCAATTAGTTCGTCTGCAGCTTCAATTCCAGTCTGTATGCGACGGAATCGTATAGAAGTGACAACACACAGAGCTGCTAAACAGATTCTTACTACTAGCTATGAGACGTCGTTCCCTCGTAAGTAGAAGCTCAATCCCAGGCTTCATCTGACTCCGGAGAGTTGCACCCCATCTCCAGTTGTAAAAGGAAGATGAAGGTATGTCAGGCCGCGTCTCGAGGAGGACCTTCATTGACTTCGTTTCGTCACCAGGCGGGGGAGACGTCTTGTACAGTGCGAGGAAGGGTCTCGAGTGCACATGGTAGATTAATCGATCACAGCTTGTGCCAGCTCGACGGGAATAACACTGCGGCGCTAATAAGTTGCACTAGAAAAATGAACCCTCTTGATGACGGAGACCGAACCGTCGCCTTCCGTCCTCGCTCCGAACTTTCCTCATTGTCACGATTGCAAGGGCTTCAATAATTGCTCAAAGATTAGGGCAGAGCAAACATTCCCTCTGAATCCTAATACCAGTCATCAGCAGGCCTCTTTAAGGTAGGGCTTTTCCCGAAAGACACTAATTTCCCTTGAATAAACTTAGATGCTCAATTGTATTCCTCCACATAAAATAAGGCACCAATTGTATTCCTCCACATGGTAGGGGAAGGCCCCACATGACGCAATTTGTGTGGAGGAATGCCAATCTGCAATCACAACAATGACATTGGAGTATACACACCAAATTTACCATGGTGAAGGAGTTGCAGACCCCTTGGAAATCCTCCCTAGAGAGTTTGGCCTCGTGCAAAATCCATAAGATGAGAACACAAACCAAGTTTTATCAACACTATGTTTGTTTTATCAACACGATGTTTGTTCTATGAGAAGCTCGGATACAAAGATGTGAATCTCACATGACATAAGCAAAAGCTGACAATGAATATAAAAATATTTTTAATTATTCTTCTTGTAGACAACATCACAATGCATATGAAGTTGCAACATGTAAAAGCATGTGTAGATTACAATGCCCTCCTAGATACATCAAAGAAGTAGTTCTTTGACCATGTGAATTTCAAAAATACCTTCATATGTAATTTCAAGACCAAAAAGGCACTCAGGTTCATAATCAATCGAGACATTATGGATGTGGCTATTGGTGATATATTATTTATTGCATACGATGAGTAATCCGCACTCACTTGTAAATAGACATTGTCAATTTTTAAGTTGTTCAAAGATGCAAACAATGACCAAATTAAGTTTTGTAGAAAGCAAGATCTAAATTGTCAATTATACAAAGTGAAGATCAATTCTTTGCAGATGTTTTTTTTGGTAGTTGGCTTTGTCTCCTATAGAGCCTTGTTTCAAATGACAACACATCTTGTCCATTTCACAAAGATTATGTCGCACATGGATTGCTTTAGTTGATGAAGTGACAATTGTGTGGCTTCATTCATGAAGGTGGTTTGTGTTGTGAGCTTACAAAAAATCACCAAGCTCTTCTACATGAAGTAGGTATTTTTTCTTGTTTTTGATATTGGCTCAAAGCAAGGCACCTCTTATCTTGACTTTCAAGTTCAATTTGAGCATCAATCAAAGTTGCACAACCTCTACCTTCTTGTCATTTTGCCTTCTGAGCAACACTCAAAGTAATCTTTATTGGAGGTGCAAAACTTTTGAATATCATTATTCCAAAATGGATGATACAACTAGTTGGAATTAGCACAAATGGTAAACAAATGATGATGAAGCGGATGTCTAATGTTGCTATGAGGATGGTCGAGGCAACTAGTGATAGAGTTATATATGTTTGGTATGCTCTTTACTAGCTTAACCTCATGGTCTAAGCTAAGTATATCAGACTATATGACAACCAATTTGTCAACATTTTGATGTGCCTCATCTCTTACCTTTGCTGGCAATACAATCTCATTAAGAAGATGGGTTGTATATGCCCAAATTCATGAACATGCAGTGGTCATCCATAAAAAAATTGAGTGGATTTTTGTGGCAAGGGCATGAAGTGATTTGTAAGTACCTTGCATAGAAGTTGCTTGCATGTATCCTTCTTTCTTCTTAGTGGGTGGTAGTAGTTGTACTTGACAACAATGCAAAGGTAATTTCCACTATTGAGGCATACTTGCAAGGACTAAACACCCTTCTAAATTAATAAAAAGCCCAACTTAAAGACTTAATTTAGTCCTTAGTAGGTTTGTGCAAAGTGTAAGGTCCGCATAGTGCAAAGACTCTCGCCATGGCTTATGATGCCCTAAATCTAGTCATATGTAGATCTTGGTGTGTGGCTCTCAAAAATATGGAGGCTTTCATTCAATATCAAGACACCTTCATGATGAGCCTATATGACTTTGCTACTTACAGCCAAGGCCGTGGTTTGTAACATAGTGGCCTTGTTTGCTAGGCTCTTTGTGATTGGGTGAGAGAAGAATGAGTATTGATAGTGCTTTATAGACTTCCCACTTGAGAGAATCCAGCACTTTAAACAATTTGATAGTCTATCAAATCTAATAAGAATGAATGTTTTCGAATAGCTATGTAGATGAATATAATCCATTCTTAATTTACCTAAAATAAAAATTGGCAGTGACCTAAAATAAACTAAATTAGGTATTGCAGGGTAAGCCCTGATTTAAAGAGGCCTGGTCATCAGCGTCTCTAATCGCAATGGTTGGTGTCAACGTCCATGCCCACGCACAAACCTCTGGGAACGATTTTTGGGGCGGTTTTCCTCAGGGTTTCTCTTTATCGCTTAGTTCTGGAACCTCGACGCGTTGTCAGGTAATACACCCACCGTCGATGGCAATCGAACATACTCCTCCATGTAAGTTAAATCCCACGTCAAGAAGCTCATTCGTCAGAATCTGTGTGAGAGTTCCTTTTTTTATCCATGCCAAGGATTAAACGGTCCCAATCATGCTTGTTGAAAATAACTGAATCTGTGACGCTGACGAGAGATATGGCCAATGGGATCATCGCCCAGCTTTGACTGGTGTCAATGGTAGGTATGGTGAACACCAGCCTGGCAGTAGAAATAAAAAAATAAAAACACTGTGATTGACCACACGGTGTGGGGTCCTCGAAGAAGGTGTTCGTCGCTTCTCCGGCTTTGAAGGGGATTGTGTCAGATCAGGCTCGCCTAACAATCGAGAAAACTGCTTGGCCTGCAAAAAACATGCATGCCTGGGCAACTTTTGCCATCGTGCATAGGGCGTGGGCTGGCAAGGCTGACGTCGCGAGACCCTTCGCCACCAACTGGCTGCAATTCCTCACCCGTGGTTGCATCGATCCATCCTCCCCTCCACTGCTGCGGCGTTCAGACCAAAGCTCCAGAGAATCGTCAGTTGCTCTGAACTAGAATCCGAACTTTAAACAGATAAAAACATGCAAACTGAGCCATTATTGCTCAAATCTCGTTCATGCTTTTCCACTGACACTTTGTTTACATGCTCGTTCCGGGTGCGTCGTCGTCGTCGATGAAGGGTCTGTAGCGCTACTGTCCTGTTGAGGTTGTCGTCAGTGTGCAGCAGGTGGAGTGAGCGTCGATCTCCTTGCACGCTCCACTGCAGCATTCATGGCACTCTTGCAATGATTTGATGCTTTTGCTGCCATTGAGAAAGCTTGATTGGGGGTTCCGTAGTGGAAGTTCTGTACAAAAGTGGGATACACATTCATGTTAATTATTCATGTATATGTGTATATATATACATATATATTCACTTGGGTGTCTGTGTGTAAAAGCCGGTGTCGCTAAGCTTGATTGGAGTGTCAGAGAACTGGTGAATTCAATGGCGGTGATCTGTTTCTTAAGCACAGACTGTATCACCGGAACAGACATTCTCTGTCAAACACATACACACACACATACATTCACACTTCGGTATTTTGTTGATGAAATAAGCATTTTGATGGTATTTAGTTGTCTGAGCTGGTGAGGTTCGCATTCAGTGTAGGTTGGGTTTTGTGGGTTGTGATTGATTCATCATTCACGATGTGGGCTGTTGTAACCAAACAGGATAATTCCACAAATTACAAAGAGTAAAATGCTTTCAGTTTTTGCATTGTTTTTCCTTGAATTCTAGTAAGAGTTGTTGCTAAATGAACGTGTGATCTAACTTTGCTTTTTCATCAATGTTGGATTTTGGATTTTAACACCAATTCTTTGATATTCTCTCCTTCTACATCCATGTTGACAAATCGTTACAGAACGTGTACTTAGACTAAAACTTGGATTAGAAAATGTAAATGATTTATGTGTACAAATATTCTTCATAGATTTGACAACAATTCATTCTTCAGATATAAATGTGCATTATAATTACAACGTGGTATTTTTTAGATTACAAATATTATTAAATTTCTGTTAAACCTTGTAAATGGTATAAAATGATATAAAATCTCTCTCTCTCTCTCTCTCTCTCTCTATATATATATATATATATATATATGTATATTTATATACATATATGCATATGTATATTTATATACATATATGCATATGTATTTATTTATTTATAAATATCTGATATACTATGGATTGCTACTTTCTGTACATTTTTTTCTTTCAAATTCGTAATAAAGTTATATATTTTTTTAATTGTTTAGTGAATAAAAAATACAGAATACAATATGAATGCTGAAGATTGACAAATATAAGATGTCAAAGAAAAAGGTGGTTGTGTTGGAAACAGCGGCTTATTTTAACAAAGACTGTGAAATTTGTACATGTCTTTTTTAGTTTTTTCTTAGACAAGGCCTAAATGAGATGCTCAATACTAAAAGAGTGATGGTTATTGGACTTGCAATAGTTTGTAATTTGTTTACTTGACCTCAAGTACAAATTACCTGTCCATGTAGGAAACAATCTTCTTTGTATTAAACAAGCAAGTTGATATCCAAGAGTAGTGTAAACAATTTTGTTTTTTTTACAAAAAAGTACAATCTTATGGTGCTGTTACAATCTAGTATGTATCAATGCATTATAATTCTAGTTTTCAGCTAGCGTATGTGAAATCCGTTTCTTTTCCAATGTATATCACATTTATGATGTTTTCTTTACAGCAATTAAAGACCATTACATGATTTTAATTGTTTAATATGTGGGTTTTATCTAGTGATGAAATATGGTTAATACTATGATGTCATGGTTATATATTACATGTTTAGATGTTGGTTTTGTAGGGTATCCCTTGCTTAGGGAATAAATCATTGATTGAAATATATGTATTCATGATATAATTTTCAAAATTCCAGCAGACCTCAGAACAAAAGACATTATGCACATGTTTATATCTTACACATTTGACAACATTATATATTAAGGATTGTGTACATGTACCAACATAA